CCAGGAGTCTGAGGTTGCTGTGAGCTAGGCTGACGCCACGGCACTCTAGCCCAGGCAACACAGTGAGACTCTGTCTCAAAAAAAAAAAAATGACTGATGTTCTTTTGTTAATATTCTTGTAATTTATATAGAATCTGATTTATTGTTACATGGATTTGGATGTGTAAGGCATGATCCTGGAAATAAAATATACCAGAAGCATAATGTTAGATTTTTTTCCTACTTGGAGCAGTATGGTTTTCCATTGGCTGTATATATTTATACATGTCTAATTCTTCCTCATAGGAGGAAGTGAGTTTTTGTGATTATATATCATTTTTTTATTACATGGTAGCAGTTATATGTCTGTGCTATAGGATATAGAACTACCTCAAGGGGCTATTTTCTTAAATGAGAAATTGCTAGCCCATTTCTGTTTTTGAAGTTGAGTATGTTTTTGTTTGATACGGAATTTTACTCACCTATTATTGAATGTCAATAAATGTTATCCTTAGAATCTATGTATTTACTATCTGGTTATGCTAGATGTTTTTATAGCAGTACAACTTTTTATGTACTATATAGGGTACTTTAGCATATTTTACTTTAGTGGCTTGGAAGGATTAATGCTTCTTTCAAGTGTTCAATTTACTTCCAGGGATTAATTGCATTCTGGAGAAAAATGACTAATTAATACATATGGTTCTCCCAAAGAATCAGGGTCTCCCTCAAAAATGTGGCATAATCTCATTTAAAATTAAAGACATTCCATCTCTAAAGAATGGTAAAAAAAAAAAAGTGCCTTAATATTTCAAGTGCTTTGGTTATTTAAGGAGTTAACTTTATATAACTTTTGGTTTAAAAATTTATTGAATACTTGCTGTATATCAGATATTGTGCTTGCTTCTTTATATACATTATCTTACATAATCTTTCCAATATCTCGATGAGGTGGGTGATATTATTCCCATTTTCATAAATGATATAATTTAGGCTCAGAGTGATTAGGTAATATGCCTGAACTCCAATAGTTTATAAGATGTGGAACTGGCATTCAAGCCCATTCTGCTGACACTAAAGCTAGTACTCTTTATTTAATAGCATTTTGTATTTCTGAACTTAGAAAGCCTGAAATATGTGTTTTCTTGGCAGCAGTGGCAGCATTTCACTGTTTTCCATGTTGGCTACTTTGTTTGTATAAACAAACAACCTGTGTGATGTTATAAAATTATAAATTTTTTTAATCTATACAAAAATGTTTCACATATTTTGAAAAGCTTGGGACATGTGTTTTCTAATGTTATGTAAGTTGTACAAGTTTCTGAAAATACTAAGACTGCATATATATGTTTTTATAATGTCTGCTAAGATGGTACATGGTAAATGCTTAGTAACTATAAAAGTAGACCATGGTAAAAGTGCCCAATAACTGGTAATGGTTGTTATCATATTGATATTCTCTCAGTGAGCAAAATGTTAATTTTAGAGTGCATTCATTCATTATTATAAATTACATTCATTGACTGAAAGCATAATCTGATTTTTTTTCTTTTTTGGGGGCAGCAACTGGAATTGGTGGAACCAAGTGGCTGGATTCACGTTCCCTTAACTGATAATCATAAGAAGCCAACTCGCACATTCATGATACAGATTGCTGTTCTAGCCAATCACCAGAATGGAAGAGACACCCACATGAGACAAATTAAAATATACACACCAGTGGAAGAGAGCTCCATTGGTAAATTTCCTAGATGTACAACTATTGATTTCATGATGTATCGTTCAATAAGGTGACTTTAAAGTGGAATACAAGTCATTAAACGTGTCTTTGTTTTATCTTGTTATTAAATATTATATCAGGTATCTTTATTGAAAAAAGCGTCAGTTATTTTGCAGTTTTGTATACCTTTAAAAGTATTTTATTGTAACTTTGATAAATAAATAAATTTGGGTCATATTATCTCTATTTTCTTTAACATATAAAAAAGCTCACATATTTTACATTATTTAAAATGGATTTGAAGCCAATCATGTTTTCCCTTGTATCAAAAGAAAAGCAGTTGAACTGAAAATTTCAAGATGTACACAATTTTATAATAACCAGGTGATTATTTTGTATAGTGATAATGCATTAATGGTTTATTGCATATTTGGAAACAAAACTATGTTTTATCAATATATATCATCATTAATAGGTCAAAATTATTATTTTTCTACCCAGAGGAAGTTAATTCTTTTAATACTGGATCTCTTTTTAGAAACAGTATCAAAATAAGCTTAGCATTAGGTGTCCAATGAGAACCAATCTGATTAGGGCAATATAATTAATTGTCTCATTTTTACCTTAATGAAATATTTATAACCCGAGGATTGTCTATATCCTGATGATATTATATTCAAGATTCCAGTGTAATCTGCTGTTTATTTCAATTCTAGTGATACTTGTAGAGGAGTTAGCTTAAAATTTGTGTCTGACGCTATAGCATTCCCTGGAGGATAGTATATATCCCATGAAAATTTTAAAATATATGACATTTTTTATATATAAAAAGATT